TTTCTCAGATTCTCCAAATCTTTGTGGAGCGATTTTTCCCTTTGGATTAATTCGTGCGCCAATCTTTTTCTTACTTAATTCGATATCCTCTCGTGTACATCTCTCGAAATTGAAATAATCACGAGATTCTTCTAATGTATTCTTACAAATTCTTCTTCTTATCCCCCTCTTACACGTAATCTTATTACAATTCTCGGTTCCTTCGATCTCGGATCCGAAAGATTCGAAAAATCAACGATCTCTTGGTCTTCGTGGGAGGAAAATGGAGAGAATCGAGAAGAAAGAGAGAGAGAGGATGCGCTTTTGTCGAAACACTCGAGAAGGAGGAGAATCCGGGGTGGAAGGACGACGGATGCCTGCTCGTGGATTAAACGCGGAGATCAAGTATTCTTGATAAAGGCAGAGGGTCAAGTGGCGCGGAGAACGACTAAATCGAGGGAAAATTCGCGACACCCGGCCCTCCCTCCCTCCCTTCCTTCCTCCTCCTTTTTCATTTCCCGGAGAAAGAGCAAGAAAATCCTTGTCTCTTGATCTCGATCGTAAATCTTATTATTAATTCGATTTAAAATGGATTTGTCTTGGAATTCTTAGTCATTCTTTATACGACTTGAGAAAAAAAAAACTTGAAAGTTATCGTTTATTTCATACGAAATATAGCGAAAGAATTATTGCTGATTTTGATAAGATAACTCGAATATACTTTTGCGATCGTATGTAATTTATGCACGTTCGAATTTTGATAGAAAAGGAAAAAATCTTTTCTTACTTAAACATCGATCGACTGTTTTCTTTTTAAAATTTCCTTTCAAAATACAAATCCTTGTACAAATAACGAAGATTGGCAAACAACCCACTACACAACTTCTTCGAGAAGCGAATCCCCGAAACATTCTCCACCCTCCCAAAAGAAAGAAAAGAAACCCTCAAGAGCAACCCTGCTCCCCCCCCTCGAGCGACAAAGAGAGAGATCAGCGAGCGAATGAGGGCAAACTTCATCGCGTTTTCCACGTGGAATTGACCAAATCCGGAATCCATTAACCCCCTCGGGGGGTTATAAATAGGGGGGCCTCCTCGAGAAATTCCCACGCGTCTCCAATGCTCGTGAAAAGAAAGGAAAGAAAGGAGAGAGGAAAACGGGAGCAACAGGAGCCAGAGATGGGACGGGCGTTTTTCCCGGTGTTTGCCAACGCTTCGTGGCCCTTTTTTCCAAACGTCGAGCTGTCGTGCGTGCCCGTGTTTGCTCGTGCGCCAAACGGGGGGCTCTCGAGGAAACCATCTCGAAGAAGGACTCGAGCCGAGTCGAGTGTCTCATTTTTGTTTGCCGCCAAGGGATTTTCCCGACAAAGAGGCCGACCGACCGACCGGAGGATTACCATCCTCTGCCCGCGCTAATTTCCCCGCTCTCCACTCGCAGGCCCGGGGAAATTAGGGAGGACACCAGTCAAGTCGACGTTCTCGGCCCGGGGACACCTGGAATTTCTCTTTTCTTGGGACTTTTCAACCGGCCTTTTGTTTGACCACCTCTTAAGCCGTTTTGCGAGGCAGGCAATTCGTTTCGAAAATTCGCGTTAAAAAGCTTTTAGCGTTTCGGGTTTAATTAATTCTCCTCCTTCCCTCCCTCGTTATCTCGTTCGATCAAATAACACAGCGTTAACAGATATTCTCTCTTCGTTATTGCATCGAATTTGTTTCTATCAAAATGTTTTCAACTTGAGTTTCGTTATTATTATTTCGCCTCCAATCCATCGATGTTCCCACGACACGAGGTAATATTGTTTATAAACATCGAGAACTACATCGATTTTCGTGCCTTGAAATAAAGAATTATTCCAAAAATTTCCCATTCCAATTCTTCTTGTGCTTACAATTTAGCAATAAAAAAAGAGATACACTCGCGGAGGGAACTTTTTTCCCGAAAAACCGCGCAAGATAAAGATCCTCGCAGCTGACGATCGGGATCAAAAAGCGCATCTTCCGCCCCACATCCCCCAAAGAAGAAGAAGCGAATCTCTCGTGGAGGAGATGGCTCGAAATCTCGCCCGAATCCGGAAAGGGTTGTTGGGAAAGAAGAAATCTCTCTCTTCGAGGCCCCGTTTTATATTTTCTGGGCTCGTGCACAGGGATTGAGAGGACGAGGCAGGTGAACCGTGGCTGAAACGATGGTTACCGTCTCCCCCCCGATTCAACCCCTTCTTTCGCCCTCTCCCCTTCGAGCAAGAAGAAGAAGAAGCAGAAGAAGAAGAAGCAGAAGAAGAAGAAGAAGAAGAAAAAGAAAGACGAAGAGAGAGAGCATGGTGGCGTACCGCACGATTGGCACGCGGTGTTCCAAGCGGCGAAGGAAGAGGGACAAGGAGAAGGACGAGATGGACGAGGAAGAGAGAAAGAGAAAGAGAGAGAGAGTGGTGGTCCGTAACAAAGGTCGGGCTGTGCGAGCGCAGCCATTGACATCGCTCTTGGGTCCCCGGGCTGGAGGACTAGATTTCACGNGCCAGCGATGCAGGATCCTTCAAAGGGCGCCGACACGGACCGCCGCAAAAAGGATTCGCAAGAAGAAAAAAAAAAGAAAGAAAAAAAGAAGGGGAGGGGGGAAAAGGAGAACGGTGCAGCAGCGTCCAGGAGGAAGGGAAGGAAGAGGGGGAGGAAGGAGGAGGAGAAGGAGGAGGAGGAGGTTGTGGCCGCTGAAAGAACCGGGCTTCTTCTCCTCTTTGCTTCGAAGCTGGCTTCCGCAGGACCCCGTTTCGCCCCCCTCCCCCTTTCTCGTCCTCTTCTCACAGGAAACCTACGACGGGACGGGGAGGCCGTG